TTTTGGTAGCTCCGTGCAGTGACTGCAAACACTCTTTTCGTCGTCGTCCTCAAAAGCTTTACCCAGCGATCGAATTGGAAGGGAAACAAAAAGGGGAAATCGAGGGTTTCAATTTGAACCGGGTTTTCTAGGTTTTGGGCTTCACGGGCTTAACCTAATCTCGGCCCGATCAACATCCAAACTTTTTGCACGCGTATGATATCAGAAATTGTCGGGTAAGATCTTCTATATATTAACGTAGATATTGACGTTTAATTTTGTTTGAATATCATCACCATAATCCTCTTTCTATTAAAATACAAGTAGTATTATTTAAGTTCCTTAGATGTTTTAATTAAATAGATAATTTTTAATTGTATAGTTATGATTTTTGTTTTAAAAATTATTAATCTCTTACGGAATATTTATCCACTTCTTAATTACAATAAGTATCTAACTAAATCTCTTCATTTATTTTACACAATAATTTCTACATGTGCGATTCTACGTAGATCAATATATAAAGAATAGAAACCAACTTAATTTGTTACAACCGATCATTCTTCTTATGCTTTTTTTTTGTCAAATTATTCTTATGCATTTATAACCTTTTATGCATTAATTATTGTTTCTAAATTTTGATTTTTGTACTGCAATTGTTTGACAAAAAAATTCAAAGTTATTTGCTTATCCAAAAATCAATTAAAAATATTTTCTTATGAAAACGATAATGAAATTCACTATTTATAATTAATTGTTTTTGAACAATACTAAGCGAGGTTAACTTAGATCATATTTTGTAAGATGAGGTAGTAAATTTGTAACCTATGATTTGTTATATTGGTCTCATGTTAAATTATTCTTAATTATTTTTTTTATAATGAACACTGTCAAAGAAAGTTAAAAACTATAAAACAAAATTTCACTATCTAACATGAGGCCAATATATCGTTATACTATGGGTTTTTCTGTCTAATGTCTACATTTTTAAGGAGTGTTTAAACTAAATAAAAAGTATTTTTTCCAATAAAAAATCAAAAAAATGAAAAAAATATTTTAATTAGTTTCGGATAACATTAAATTCTAAATTATTTATTTAACTAATACTTTTACATAAAATATTATGATATTTTGTCAAGATTCGTTTGTTACAATTGTAGAGCAAATTTTTTTCAATTTGAATTTTTCTTTAGATACACGTAACGATTCT